CCCAATACCCGTAAAACATTATAGCATCACACCAACCACAGTAAAATAGACCTTAGATGAAAAAAGTCTAAACCTGTTATAGTAATATATTACAGAACCCACCAACAAGACCCATAAAACATTATAGCATCACACCAACCACAGTAAAATAGACCTTAGATGAAAAAAGTCTAAACCTGTTATAGTAATATATTACAGAACCCACCAACAATACCCATAAAACATTATAGCATCACACCAACCACAGTAAAATAGACCTTAGATGAAAAAAGTCTAAACCTGTTATAGTAATATATTACAGAACCCACCAACAATACACATAAAACATTATAGCATCACACTAACCACAGTAAAATAGACCTTAGATGAAAAAAGTCTAAACCTGTTATAGTAATATATTACAGAACCCACCCCCAATACACATAAAACATTATAGCATCACACCAACCACAGTAAAATAGACCTTAGATGAAAAAAGTCTAAACCTGCTTCCTCCGTTACATAAAACGGTATTTTAAAAACAAAATATAAGAATATCTGACACCGAAAGAAGAGAAATCTCAATAGATAAAGTGATAATTTAAAAGCAAAATATAAATATATATTAGCTTTCTTACATAGATAGCAAAGAAATCTTAATACATTGAGTGGTAATTTAAAAACAAAATATTTTTATACAAACCATGAATTCTCAGATTACAGATAATGTATCGAACTAGTAACTTGATATATAACTGGTAAAATCTTATGCATCATTAACAGTAAGCTTATCTTACACATGATTCAAGCTACTCTAATCATTAAAGTTAATATTTTTATACAAACCATGAATTCTCAGATTACAGATAATGTATCGAACTAGTAACTTGATATATAACTGGTAAAATTTTATGCATCATTAACAGTAAGCTTATCTTATACATGATTCAAGCTACTCTAATCATTAAAGTTAATATTTTTATACAAACCATGAATTCTCAGATTACAGATAATGTATCGAACTAGTAACTTGATATATAACTGGTAAAATCTTATGCATCATTAACAGTAAGCTTATCTTACACATGATTCAAGCTACTCTAATCATTAAAGTTAATATTTTTATATAAACCATGAATTCTCAGATTACAGATAATGTATCGAACTAGTAACTTGATATATGACTGGGAAAATCTTATGCATCATTAACAGTAAGCTTATCTTACACATGATTCAAATTACTCTAATCATTAAAGTTTTAATTTTCTTTTATGTTGTTTTTTTGAGATTGTGTTACTTTGTTCTGCCCAAGTTGCTTCATTAATTTAAAAGTTACTTCTTATTTCTGATATATATATGTTGATATTTGATAAGAAGTTCTTTTGAAGGTTCCTTATCCTAGTGAAGACAATTCCCGAATCACTTCCGACAGATGCTGACTGGTCACAAGATTCCTAGAAGGAGGGAAGAAAATAGGTAAAGGAGACACAGCAGGAGGAGAAAGAAAGGGGATCAGGATTCCTTCTGATAAAACCTTAAAAATTCATTGATGAAGGAACCCCAGCGATAAGAAATTGACAAGCTGAGCTCCTATCGTACCAGAACCCACTGGGTAGTCACCAGTACCGGTGGCAACTTGAGGAGCATCATTGAAAAAAACAAGAAGGACTAGAAGAGTCATCCCAAAAAGAAGAAGGGACAGGTAAGGGTTTGGAAGGGAAAGGATGGGAAACGGTAAATGAAGCATATCCGGCTCTGACTGAGACAAACGTGTAACAATATTAGTAGGGATAGACTGTTGTTGGACCAATGTCACCCGTGATTCAATTGTTTCTGGGATGCTGTCAAAAACATATCGCCACTGAAATGGGGCCATACATAAATCCCGAAGGTAAGTTGATGGTAAATCGACCCGAGCCAAATCTGCATCACGATCTAAAAGGCCCCAATAACAGAGAAACCACGTATGCAAAGCCAGAACTGAAGATGACAAACGAACTAGTGGGGAGGAAAGAATGAAAAGGATATCCCAGAAAACACCTCAGGATTTCCATGGAGAGCCTCAAAGAGGAGGTGTAGAGAAGAAACATACCATAAAAGACAATATGGAATCTAACAACTGTTGGTTCAAAAAGGGACAATCAGCACAATGGTAGGAAAGCGCAAACTGATCTGAAGCCCTCGAGGAGGCAAGACATGCTAAACCCATGGCTTAATTGCGAGGTAAATTAATCAGCATGAACCCAAGTATCAAGAGGAGGAAGGAAATCAAAAAGGGTAGGAAGATTGGTCATGTAGTAAGAACTGACTTGGCTCATAAGTAATAGGAGAAAGGGATAAAACATTACATACCTGAGAAACAAATCCAAAAAAAGACAGAGTTAGGCCTAACTGATTGTTCAGTCGAGAAACAGGAAGGTACAGTAAATTCAGGAGGTGGAAATAGACAATCCAAGTCCTCGTCAGCAGGAACATCGAGAGCCAGCACGAGCCCTGGGGCAAACA